TCATGAAATATACACTAAAAATAGGTAAATTTAAGGTGGATCAGCCTCCACCTTTACTAATGTCTTACATTTGTTCTTGGTCTTTCATATGTGACTATGAGCTTTCTTTTACTTGCTCACTACGACTCATTTTCTGACTTATCCCATACCGGATTTTCCTATTTTATTTTCTTGCGATGTACTTAAATTCTCTACACATTATATTATGCATTATAATACTAACCATGTAGTGGCAGCAGAGGCCCAGGTACGCGTTTACGTTTTATACATTGCAATTTTCCTTATTTATCTTACAACATTTTCTGCCTGCATTTATTTACTTTACATGCAAAACTAAACCACAACTAAAAGCAAAAAAAACATATTTTTGAAAATTAAATCAACACTTTCAAAACATTAAACAAATATAATAAATTCTTTTTGGGTTTAAGAGAATTGCTCGGATGGGGTAACTTACGATTACTAACGAGAGTTATCTAGTTTAAATGATTTTGATAACTTGTTTAAACTAATTAAATTCAAGAGAACATAGTGTTGTCAAAATGAGGGAACCGTAGGATCCTAACCGATGTCACTTCGTTTAAGTTCAAATCCCCACTAAAAGACTCTTAAACAACAATAACAACAACAATAACATAACTTGTCACGTAAACTGCAAAACTATAAAACCTTAAATCTTGGAACTGCTACTTCAATAAGGAGCTCAGAGAAAACATCGTAGGCATCACAATGAAGGTATGTAGAAGAACAACTTCTAGAAAGTAAACAGGTTTACAACAGCAAACCTTTCCTTAGAATTAAATAACAAGTCATAGAATTTTGAGGTAGTCTGTCTAGTACGTCATAAATCCTCAACTCATCTTTTGGTCTTTACATAGTCATGTTGTGTAATATAAGTCCTAACTTACTTTAGGCAATGAGGTTATTGTTCGTTACAACATAAACCCTTCTAGCTTCAGGGCTATTTGTATGACTGTGTCATGCAAGCATAAGACCTAAATAATAAAATTGACAGGATGAAACATCTAATAATATTTCATTGAAATTAAAGCAAAATTATAAGATAGTTTGGGAAGTCCCCGAGGTTCTCCTTGGGATCCGTGACACCCCTAATTTTTCTCCTTTGATTTCCAAAATGAATTGTCCTATTTGATCATTCCCATTTAAATTTTTCATGTCCGACCTTGAAAACCCTAAACTTTGAAAATCTTGAGAAAAGTACCTCCGATCTAACTTGAGAGTTTTTTTAGGCGATTTTAATTATCTAAGATGTATCTAACTATAGGGGTTTGTCCTTATAAAAAACTTTGGAACCCAGGTAATATAAACCATGTCTAACCTCTTATGTTAGATAGGAGAATATGTTGGTCAAAATAAATGTTTTGTAAACCAAATGGAAGTAATAAATTCTTCAATTTAGTTAATCGAGTCCCACTATCAAGTAACGCGTCTATTCCCGGGGATAGATGCATGCCATGTGGTGTTGTGTCGTTTATTTAAACCATTGTCTGTATAAGCTTAGTTAGGTCTCATATTTTCAAAATTTAAAATGCTTCTTTTCAAAATTATATATATATATATATATATATATATATAATATATATATATAATTAGATTAAATATATGTTAAACCAACAAAGTTTTCCTATATTGACGACCGACAGGAGGTCCCTTTTTCTTTAAAGTGTAATCCAGTTTGGAGAAGGGGGAACCCATTTCACTAACTTGGCAAGGCACACATGAGGGAAAGGAGTACCGTCATAGAAATAAGTTTTCTAATTACATAGCTTTTAATCTTGCAAACGAAAACAACTCTTTGCAGTTTCTTAGGAACATATACATCATTAGCTAGGTCCATTAATAAGCTTGTATATGTTTCTGTGGGATGTGATATAGGAATTCTTGTTAATTTTTAGTAAGTACAAGTGAGCATAAGCGAGGAAGTATACACAAAAAGAAAAAAACATAGCACAAAAAATATTGAATTTTTAGTTATGTACCTGAGTAAGGCAATCTGACATTGCAGATAACTTTGGGTCATATGAGGGAACGAGATCTTGGCTTGAACAAGCTTCTTTTTCTTTTATGGTACAAAATGTTTCATGTTAGGGAGTGGTATTGCAACATAAAAAAAAACATGTATAGGTAATGTTTACTTTACTCTCTTGTTTCTCTCACAATAGCCTTTTAATCTAAAATTAGATATTCCATTTGGCCGCATCTTTGTTGAGTCATTCAAATTGTACTCTTTATTCGATGTATTTTTCTTATATAATTTTGGCTTTGCTTGAGGTTCTCTCCCACTCAATATGTCATCGACATCGATTGAGAAATTCTTCATAGACTCCAGCACGCAATTCTGAGTCAGTTCATTTCTGTATGATTTAGTGCTAATCTGATATGCAAATTTTTATACGTGTGTACAAAATATGAGTTCACTTGAAGCGATATCTATAACCATAGCTATTATACATTTCCTTTTTTGCATGAACAAACCACCAAAATAAGAGATATTTATCAAGGAAAATAGTTATATTTTATAGGTTAAGATCCCTTAGAGTGTGAGAACATAGCACACCCATTGTTTCAAATATTTTGCAACTACATATAATTTCAGAATTACTTCTGTCTAGTCTCACAATCCAGGGTTTGTATGTTCCTTATTATCCAAAAGTTTTAATGTTAAATTCCAAATCCCTATTGATTGAGCACTCCATAGCAAGGGCACACAAACCATCTAGTAACTTTGCTTCAAACACTGAATATCTTCCTCGTATAAATTAAAGAGACATATCTCAACACTGGATTTCTTTTTTCAATAAGAATAATTATAGATTGTTGACATTTAAAATCTTAGTCCTTCTCATACCTTCTCCAAGATTTCATGACATTTTCAAGACCTAGAAAACATTCAGTAAGGGAGCTTATATGCTTGGAGAACCCATGATAGATGTTATTATTGGACTCACTTAGTTGAGTTGATAAGATCCCCATCCCAATTATTTTTTTATTGAATGTACAGATCATCAAACCAGAAATTGTCGTGTAGATTACCTTTCTCAATCAAACTTCTCTTCATAGTCACATCGGGTCGTGCATTTATAAAAGAGATTATTGACTCTCTAGTTACCCATACCACAATGGAATTTTGAAGGAAATTTCTTGTATATATTCCATTATCGTAATATATGCCTTGTGTGTGGCAGACAATCCTCAATGTCTCTAGCTATTGCTTGATCCTGATCAGTGAATATTGTAATTGGGTGCTTGTTATCCATTATCCAGATAAATATTTTGAATAGCCACTTGAATGACTCAATCATTTCATCTGAAAAAAAATCAACTCCGAAGAGAACATCCTGCCAATGGTGGTTCACACTAACAATAGGAGGGCAACATAAATTATATTTATTCAATCTATAACTTGTATCAAAGATTATGACATCCCCAAAGCAGTCGTAATCAAGTTTGTACATCCCATCACTCCAGAAGAAACTCAACAAATTACTAGACTCATCAATTTGGAAGCCCCACGCAAACATGATATCCTCAACTTATCTCTCCTTGAACAATTGTAGTAGAGATTTAGCTTTCCCATGTTCAATTCTATCTCTTTTCTCTCTTTGTATGAAATTGTAGACATCCCTTTTCATGCATTCGAGATTATCTACTCACCCGACTTCTGTAACTAGGAAGCAAAATGCATCAGTGGCTCTAATCCCAGACCATGTCATCGATCTGAGCACATCTGCATTGATGTCACTTATCTTTCTGTTGAAATGCAATAGATGCTTATCACCATCCTCCGCCAAAGGATGGTGATGACTTTCTATAAATTTCTTAACCGAACAGTTACCTTCGACGTTAACGACATATCGAATCATGGCTAGACAATCAAATCTTGTGTCTACTCTTTTGAATTTCACCGTGTTACCGAACTTTAACTCTTTCTTAAAACTAGTCTTACCACAAATAAAGTCCTTTGTCTTAGTCCTCTTTGAATTTGACAAAAAATTGTTGTGGTCCTTTTGCACAGTAAATCCAAAAAAGTGTGCATAGGCATAATATTGTTCATATGTTTCTTTCTCATTAGGACAACTTCACGAACAGGCTGTCTGTGATTGGATCATTGCAAACCATTTCAGGTTCGATGAATTGCAAATTTATAAAACATATTAAACTTTATTAGACATGGAAGTAATACTGATCAAATAGTACAAGCTCAATAAAACCAATACATTCCACTGAGACCTCCATAATCTCAATGACACCGGAATAACACTAAAATAACATCGGATTAGTGCCACAAAAATCACATCTAAAACACAAGAAGAACACCAAAATAACCAATTAAAATCTGTCGCATTACACATTCAATAATCCTAGTCATAACACCACAATAATACCAAAATACAATAATAATAACACCACAATAATACCACAAAAAACAAAAAGATAACCCTAAACGCTAGGCATACATCAATAAAACCTTAAAATTACCCATTTAACGATAAAACAATAACACTGGAAAAAACCAGTATAACATTATGATAATACCTAAATAAAAAAAATATCCCACTCCAACAAAAAAATAACGTTACACATGCAATAATACAATACTAACACCGCAATAATACCCAACAACACTATCTAAACCTCATTGCAATACTGCAATAACAAATAAAAAAAAACCAGAATCACATCAGTAACAATAACACAACATAATAATACCAGCATAACACACCAATAACCTAAATGCTAAACATCATGACACTTCATTATCCAGTATAAACCCTAAATAGTGTTACAGTCCCACCACAATAAAATCATTTCGAGCACAATTAAACTCACGTCAATGTCATAGTTCTCACAAATATTTTGAGATTCAATCAACATTTTCTAGTTGAAAGAGACGTTTATTGCCACGAAAACCCTAGTTGGTGGATATGCAAAAGAAAAAAAATGTGACAAACTAAAACTTAAAGGCGATAAAATGCATTTTCTTTTCAAATGGGCTGGCGGGAATAAAAAACGACAAAAAGGTATTTTTCGGATGCACGTTTAATTTTCATCGGCTTGGGAGGAATTCGGGCCGTTTTTATGTTTAAATTTTTACGTTTAAATTTTTATGTTTTAATCTTATTTGTAAGGGAAGAGGTGACTGAACTCGGGGTTCGTTTTGTGAATAGAAACATTGAATGGGCCGTCTCCGTGCAGCCATCTAGGGGGGTGGTGTTTCATAAATTTGGATTTGATCATGACTTGACACATAAAAAATAATATTGGCATGTTGTCGTGAAGGAAGCCCGCCATGGAATGAATAGTAATTACTGTGCAACGGCAATGGCGACAGCGCAGGTAGATAGGGAGAGGAGAGCGATTGAAAAGGTATGGGCCTTTGCCTCGAGGAAAGTGAAGTTAGCAGTGGAAGCTTGAGAGAGAGAGAATTTGACCCAAGCTCAAAAATGCAGGCTTTGGCATGAAGAGAGCATTTCTCGAGAGGGAGAGGAAAAGGTGACCCTTTGAAGAGATCTGATTTGAAGAGATTCTCTTCTATGTAGACTTTGGGAAGAAGAGGAGATGGTGGCGAAAAAGAGAAGTCCGTCACTGAGATTGTGTAGTTTAATTACCTGCAAGTGAACGAAGCCACCACTAAAATTCATTCCTTCCTTTCGAGTGCTCGCTTGCTTTCTTCTTGCATCTATCCCCTTACTAACGTTAGAGAAGGAAGAAAAAAGGGGTAAAAGAGCAGAGACTGAAACAAAGAGCGGCAAAACCGGCATAAAAATCTATTATTTCATTTTTTAATCCCCTTCCTCTTCGCCGGTGTAGACGCCATGGACGCTTATGAAGCTACTAGGATCGTCTTCTCACGAATTCAAAACCTCGACCCAGAGAACGCGGCCAAGATCATGGGTCTGCTACTCATTCAAGAGCACGGCGAGAAAGAAATGATCCGCCTTGCGTTTGGCCCTGAAGCTTTACTTCATTCCCTCGTTCTCAAGGTCCGCAGAGACCTCGGACTCCTTCCTTCTTCCTCCCCCGCCACGCCTTCTGGTGGTGGCACCGCAGCCGGCGTCTTCTCCCGGCAAAACTCTGCTCGTTTCTTCTCTATTTCTCCACCGGAAGAGCTTGTCGATGAACTGCAGTTGCAAGACCAGTTTTCCTTCCTCAGCGAAGGGGGTAACAACCCACAGGTGACAGCTAAATGTGGTGGGCTTTTTTTACCCGACATGGTTGGAGATTGCCCGAGCCCGGGTGCCGGAGGGGAAGGCGTGCTCCTTTCGAATTCGGTGGGATGGGGATTGAACGGTACGAGTTTTCGGCGGAGCTGTGGCGCCATTGGTGACTTCAGCTCAAGCTCTGACCTTTCAAATGGATTTGGGTGGAGACCCTGCCTTTATTTTGCAAGAGGCTTTTGCAAGAACGGGAACGCCTGCCGATTTCTTCATGATGACGCTGCAGCAGAGCAGGAGTTACTTCTGAGGTCCAGGAGCTCGAAGCTCATGGCTTCCGCCACCCCGTTCCCTTGTTCTCCGACTGCATGCTTTCCGGCATCACCATCTTCGGCTTCTGTAAAATACTTAAACGTTGTTTTTCAGCATCAGAATGATGGACAAAGGTTTGATTTTGGGGAATGGAGGATTTCAAATTCTGCAAATTTTTTTTTAACTAGTAATTGTTTGTTTTTTTTTCAGAGCTCCAGCGACGTCTCTGATGCTTACAGGTGGTGATGAGGTACATAAGTTCATGTGCCGTGCAAGGCCGGACTTCACCGGAATATCAAACCCGGGCTCAAGGCAGATCTATCTTACCTTCCCAGCGGACAGCACTTTCCGCGAAGAGGATGTTTCGAATTACTTCAGGTAAGTTCGTTGAAAAGCTGACTAGAAATTTCTTCGTTTTACCGGTCCAATAGCCTGAATTCTAACTCTAGAGCTCTTCGTCTTTGAACTGGAAGCATCTATGGTCCGGTGCAGGATGTGAGGATTCCATTTCAGCAGAAGAGAATGTTTGGATTCGTGACTTTTGTCTACCCAGAGACTGTGAAGCTGATTCTAGCTAAAGGCAACCCCCATTTCGTCTGCGACGCCCGAGTTCTCGTTAAGCCTTACAAAGAGAAGGGCAAAGTTCCCGACAAGTACATGTACCCCCTTATATATAGTTCTCACTCATTATTGTGTCCGATTTCAACATCAAAATGTGTTTTTTTTTTTTTTTTTGGCTTATGTGTTTCTTACAGGAAGCAGCAACAAGCAGATCGACTCGATTTATCCTGCTGCTGGACTTCGACCGGCCTTGATTCCCCATTAGACATTGGTTGGAATTTAAAAGCTCTCTCCTTTCAACTGGATCTGTATCATTGAGGTCATTTCATTCGTGAAGCGTTGATTTCATGCATTTATTTTTAGGTGGAAGAAAGTTCTACAACATTGGCAGTGGCAATGTTGCAGCGCAGGATGCTTCGTTGCTGAGACGACGGCTAGAAGAGGAGCAGCAGGCTGAACTTCTTCAGCAGGCGATCGAGCTACAAGGCAAAAGGTTTCAGCTACTGGACTTGAAGCCTCGCAGCTTCTCGGCTGCAGTTTCTGCTACTACCTCCGATGCACAAAGTACTTCGAGCACAACCGCATTAGCAGAGAGGGCTTTCTCTTCTTCCATCAGAATTAGCCGCCCGATAGCAACTCAAGAAAATGGTAACGATTAACGGATTATTACAACTATAACATTTTGTTATTAGGGCTCATTTGGATGCTTGACGTTGGAAGAAAATAAATGAGTTTTGAAAGATAAAATAAAAAAAAGAGCTTTGAAAAAATTATTAATGAGCTCTTGTTTCAGAGTTGTTAGACTCTTTTCATCGATTAGGAGATGTAATAAACTTTTATTTCTAATCTAATTGCGATTAAGACTAAACTTTTCAAAATAAAAGATTGCAATAACTTATGTGGGATGCGATTCTTTTGCTTTAATAGACATGAGCAGCAGCACTGGATGTAGCTCAGCGATGCAGCAGCAGCAGCAGCAGCCATTGAATAATAATGCTGGCAATAAAGTTGAATCTGCAGAAGAGCCAAGCCCAAAAGATAATATGAATTTCCCAGTTTGGTAAATTCCTACCAATCACCAATAAATGCTTTTCAAATTTTGATTCTATCGTAAAAGCTAATTACATTTTTCTTATTTTCTTTGCAATCTTATTGCAGTATTGAGCACAACTTACCAGATAGTCCCTTTGCCTCCCCTACCAAGGCTTCATCTTTCTCCACAGATCTATCTTTCTCTGCAACATCAGGTGTAGGTGGAGGTGGAGGAGGCGGAAATCCTACTGGAACATCGCTTCTGCTGCCATCCCCTCCCCTCAGCCCCTACTGCTTTCAAATACCAGCAAGGTCTCTGCTTGTTTCAAAAATTTCAGTTTTCTGAATCTTTAGGCTTCAATAACAAAATTCTATATGCTTTCAGATTCACTTCAGATCATGGTGCTATTGGAATGTGAAGAAAACGGCAAACAATAACGTCTGTAAGCATTAAATTCTCTTTTAGCGGAAACATTAACAAAGTCAAATCACAGAGCTAGTGTGTTTGTGAAGGACTTTTTTAAACATTTTTATGTATATATATAATAAATGCATAGCAAATATACACTAATAAATAAATAACATGTAATAATATTCTCTAATTTAAGCTTGTAAAAAAAAATTTAGGACTTGATGCTTAAATTTGGTTCATATGTAAAAATTACAGATGATTGTTCTCTTCTAATAATATAATATTATATAATATAGAGACTGTTCGAGTATAAGTTCATTATCTTTCACCTAACTACTTCGTTTACTATTTGCAGGAAGAAGGGGGAAGTAAATTGGATCTGAAATGAAATGAAATGCGGGATGAAAAGATGGGGGATGAAATTTTCTTATTGGTTTTTTTTCTTTTTAAGTATTTTTTTTTCACGCATGAAAGAAAAATATTAGTATATGGCTATAACTATCGTTTTATGAACCAAGCTACTATCTGCCACAAGATACGACATAATAGCTGTAAAGGGAGTACAGACATGAGAAGACACCAACTTCTAAGTGGCCCACGACATCACAGTCGTCCATCTCATCATAAACTCATCAACACCGTTGTTTTCAATCCTTTTACCCGCATCTCTGTACCATTTGTTTCGATGTATAATATTCTATTCTAGGACGTGAAACAAAGGAAATGATAAAAGAAATAATTGCATAGTTGTGTTGCCTTTCTGTCTCTCTTATAATCTGATCATCTAAGCTACTGGCTTCCGTCTGAACAATGAAAAAAATGGAGTTATTATAGTATTTTATTAATTTTTCTATGATTTCAAATAAGAGAAATAAGAATCAAATCGCCATCAGTGTACCCATTGTGATGTTAGGATGCAGACCAGATGTTTGTCGTGGGTTGGATTATTTTAATGGAGCATCACATGGGTGATGACTAAGCTAATGGTGATTGCTGCCATAGTCCCATGATTTAATGTACAGAAAAGCAGATAGATGAATGATGATGTTGTTGTCTTACTAGCTAGAAAATTACATTTCATATGTCCTTTTATTGTAACCTAATTTGAATCTATCCTTCATGTTTAGCGTGTTAATCTTCTACTTATATCACTTACAAACTCGAGTATCCAAACTTTAGTCGAGTTATTTTGATGCAAAAGTGACTTAATACAACTAACTATTGAGTATATTTTAAATTATATATATATCACTATTATTACTACTCAAGAAAGCTTATTTGACATTACATAAAATTTTATCGAGCTAGTTTATTCTCTTTTTAATCATTTGGTATGCTTATTTAGTTATGGCTAAGGATCATATACCCTAATGTACTATAGTGAATGAGGACATTATTTTTCTCATATTTCACATTTTATGCACAAGAGCATAAGTCTTATTCTTTCCCCAACTCTTTCTTAGTGCTTGAATTTAATTACTAATACAATAAATTATTTTGCATCCTATTTTTTTATGTAAATATATAAATACTTTGTGATAATCAAAGGTCAAAACATCAAAAGGTTTTGACATTAGTGATCCAACCGCAGCAGCATCTATAATATATCTAAGTGATCCTACTAAATAAAATGTTTCAATTATAAAATGTTTGAATTATTAACCAATCTGGTCGAGCATGGTGTGGACATTTTTTAAGAATATCTTTAAATCTTTCTCAAGCTTCTTATATCAATTCCCCTTCAAACTGACAAAAAAGATGTAATATCATTTCTAAGCTTAGCAGTTTTCAAGGGTGAAAAATATTTAGCTAAGAATTTTTGTGATAGTTCTCCCCAAGTTCCGATAGATTTAGGTGCTAATGAATTTAACCAAGCCTTGGCTTTATCCCTTAATAAAAAAGGAAAAAATCTAAGCCTAACAACATCATTAGACACTCCGTCATATTTAAAAGTAGTATAAATTTCAAGAAAACTAGCAAGATGTAAGTTTGGATCTTCAGTAGGTGTTCCTCCAAACTGATTATTTTATATCATTTGGATAATAGTAGGTTTAGAATCAAATGAATTAGCAGCAATATCAGGATTTTGAATAGTCAAGTGAAGTTCATCTGTTTTCGGATTAGCATAATCTTTTAAAGTTCTTTATTTAAGTTCTTTATTTAAGTTTAGAATCAACTGATTTTCGTTTGTTTGATTATTTAAGTTATTTGCCATTTTGTTTAAGTTTTTAATTTCTTTTTGTTGTTTTTGAATTTTTCTAATAGTATGCTCTAATTTTGAATCGTAAGGTACTAAACCTTCAGATCTAATATTTCGCATAAACAAATATATATAATAAGCAAAGAAAACTTTTATAAAAATAATTCTTAAATAAAAATATATTTTCTTTTTGGATTTTTTATTTTTTAAATTTTTTTTATATTTTGTATATTTTTTCATACCCATTAAGATTAATATTCTGTGTGCATTATGAATATTTCAAATATGAAATTAATTTACCGTTACATTCCCCGGCAACGACGCCAAAAGCTTAATCCCATTGAAATATAATTGTGTAAAAATTTTATAGTTGACTCCGTTATGCAACGGTGCCAAAAGCTTGACGCAATATTTTATGAATTAGAAATTTAAGCAATTAATGTTGAGATTCTATGCATGTATACATATCGTTATCAAGTAATAAATAACTTTCTATTTAAGCCCCAAATATTGATCCCACGGGGAAGATTTAAATTTGAAATGAAAAATTTACTAGGAATTCACAGAAAGTCAAAATGAAATTACTGTCACTAATTTTGAATGTTGAGATATTATCAAAACTAAATTATTTAACTAATAACAAACCTAAAATAGAAAGTTTAAGCAGTAACTACTAAACTATTAAACTAGATTTATGTGATGAAGATTTCTTATGTGAAAAAGCATATTTCCCACTACAATGAGGTTTTAGGAGAATGAGATGAGATAAATGGTTTAAATATGTATTGTGCAAAATAGGATCAGTTTTAATTCTCTACCCTGATACAGTGTTATAGAAACTCATTGGTTAATCTCAGGTTTAGTCCCTAAATTCGTGGCTTGGCTAGGAGGATACTGGCTCCCACTCTAGAGCTCCCACTTCCCTTAAGGCTAACTCTCGCTTTAGTTTTTAAACACTAAGACCGAATTGGGGATTTTAGTCTGTCACCCTAAAGATTCTCCAATTCTACACCCAACAAAATATATTTCCCTATTTATTTGCATTTAATTCCATGAACAAAATTCTCCTTCACGGAATCAAATGTGATCCTCACTTTGTTGTAAAACTCATACTCCATTCCCTGGATCATATGTTTCACAACATATTTTAATAATTCAATTGGTCAGATTGAAAAGTAAATTAAGTTCGAAGTTGAAAAATTATCACAATTTATTTTATATTTTAATATTGGCACATCCATATTATCTCTTCATTTCACCATATCTCAGAGTAGGAAGAAAGATAAAGTAAACGACTCAGACTTCATGAGAAAGATAGAACAAAACACAAATTTCATATATAAAAGAAAGTTCATACAACACTAATAAACAAACAACACTTATTTGAAACTTTTTCTCAAAGCAAATCCCTTGTAGTCTCTTCTTGAAAATGTAGGAAGAAGAATATTTCTCCTTCTCCAACACTCTTAGAGAAGAGTTCACACTTAATCTCACCACAAAACTCTAAATTATAAGAACAATGGACTATAAATGGTTGTGGAATGAAAAATGGAAGAATGTGTGATGCGTGAAAGGTTTAATTAAGACGATGAGATGTCAGGAAGAGTCACTTTTCTGATCAATTTTGGCCTCAAATAAACCTTAGAGTCGATTCTCCAATAGGTGCCTAAAAAAAATCTTCAAAAAGCATCCAAATTCATCAAATCTTCTAGAACAAGGGGCTCTTCTAGAAACAGGGGCAGAACCGACATTGGCACCGTTGGCGCTAGTGTTCTGCAATTTAATTCGCTGCTCTCTATCAAACGGTACCGTCGGCGCTGAACAAATTTTAACTTCTTCATTTTTGCTCCAAATTTCATCCTTTTTGCTTCCTTTTTGTTTCAAGTCCTAAAATTCAACAACCAAGTCCAAAATTCAACAACCTGCAAGAAAACATAAAAATACCTTCCATTAAAGTGCAATATCACCAAAAATGAGTATAAAATATGGGTCTAAAAATGTATATGTTTTTGGTGTATCATTGACCTCGGCTCAATATAAAATAGTCTACTTCCAAAAAGTGCATTATGCCTTAATGGCACGTCACATTTGTTGGGGGTTTTTTTATTGATATCAAATTTTGATGTTGCACATACTTGATGTTTATTTGAAGGTTATTGGGTCATATTCCATTTATACATAGCTTATCATAACTCACAATAACCATAAAACTCTTCAGCGCTTGTTAAGGGCAAGAAACTATGGTCTAAACTAACACACCTATGCTAGTCTATAATGTCCATTGGCATCAAATTCTTTTGTTGCATATGTTGGATGTTCATTCAAATGGTATGGAACTATATTCCATTCATTGATAGCCTCCCATCCATGGATATTTTTTTTTGCCAAAATTAGGGGTTGTCTGACACCCCCTGTTAGAGGATGGTACACCCATGCCTTCCAAGCCAGATAGGTTCTTAGGCATTAGTTTGGGCGCCTAAGTCCCAGTCTGTTTCTTGGTTTCATTTTTTGTCATCTTTTTGGCCAAAATCAAGCCACATAAGTCCAATATTTTGACATGGAAAGATGGGGGATGGTACCATAAAAAGCTCTTGTTCCTCCATCTAAATAAATTGCTAATTTCATGCATTCCATGTGGATTAAAAACAATTTCAATATGGCTACTTGGATGATTTGCATAGTCAAGAGAGGGTTGAAATCGGGAAAGTATTTTGGCTTCATTTCACTTCTGTTTTCTGCCCATTTAGAATTTATTAAGGGCTAGAAAGAGCTTAGATTCTTAGAAGAGTGTGGAAAGAAGCCTTGTAGAGCTTTTGAAGTGAAAAGAACACGAGAGAACTCTCTCTCCTCTTCTTTTTCCTCTTCTTCCTCATATTCTTCCTCTTTCCACATCTTTTTCGTCTTCTTCTTCTTCTTCTTCTTCTTCTTACACTTCAAATTTTCTTCAAATTTTCTTGTGGTGAGAACAAGAAGTTTTTTTGAGTTTTCTAGGAGGAAAGTTTACATCATCGCATAAGAAGGAGTTTGGACAAGCAAAGAGCTGGCTATGATAAAAGTCACAGTGGTGAGATTCTCTTCTCCTTATTTATTTATTTTCCCAAAAAATCCATTTTTAAGATGATGTTAAAGTTATAGGTTAAGTTGATGTTAAAGAAAACCATAGGACATGAAACTTTTCTCTTGCTTCCCCAAGATCCATGAGAGATTTTTCAAAAAGCCATTTCTCTTTACATATTTTATTCAAGATTGTAGTAATTTTACATTTGATGTGATGGATCTTTAATGGCATGATGGATTTAAGCTAGAGAATGGAGAACACCCCTATGATTTTCCATTCTGTAGGTCATGAGAGTTTTCATCATGAAAACCCATCATGGTTAAGTCACAGAAATGGAGGTGAGCATATTATTATCTTGCATAATAATGTTATGGTGCACCTTACCATCATTTAAATGAAAAACCCATGGGAGAGGTCAGAGGTACAATAATTCATCATCAATTAGATCTAGTGTTTCATCTTGAAATGAACATGTGCATATCTCTTGTCATCAAGTGCA